GGGGGGGGGGGTTGGGGGTGGGGGCGCTGGAATTCCCACGTGTAGGGAAGCCACATCTCTACATTCTGTAGTGCTCATGAATCTGAGATGTGCTTTCCTCCCTTGGAGCCAGCTGAGCCTGAGGACACTTGGTACACAGAAGCAAGAGTCCCTTCTGGAACCGTGTAGAAGGCACCTACAGAATGCAAAGCTTTAGAACACGAGCAAGTGTGTAGGCTAACTCTGAGTTGCAGCCAGGAGCAGCTCTTCCTTTAAAATCGCACACCACTGCAGCCCTTCCACAAAGGCATCCCTCTACTCCGGGACAGCGGTTGCTAGTAACATGCAAAAAGGCATCACCCATGAATGTGGTTACCTTTGGCTGGGACATAAACCCTGCCAGAAGATTCTCCTCATGGAAATCCACGGAACACTTCTCAGTTCAACATCCCTAAGAAACGATTTGGAATTACTTCCACGCATGAAATAAAAGGAAATCAGTTATTTTTTTTCAGTTTCTACACATGGATGTCAAGGAAATATAGGATCCAGAGTAAGAAGATTCAAGTTTAGACTCTGCCTTGAACATTTTCTCCAGACCCCCAAGTCTGTGCTGTTACAATCCGGACCGTGTTTTTGCTGGCAAGGATTCACTGGGTTGTCCCACACTGAACATCATTTCACTATGCAGCAAAGGATTTTTAAAGAATGAGAAAAATATAGAAACGAAGTGCTGCAGCACACATGGTCCTAATTTTGAGTTTTCCACCTAATGGACATGAGTCTTGTGTTCTTCCAACTAAGCAGAAAATAAACCAAAAGTAACTCCCAAGAGTTAACTAAAACCTGTGAGAGGTACAAAGGGTAGAGATGAAGTACAAAGGGGAAAATACACATGGAACCCAGAAATGGGAAAAATACTGATTAGAGGAGGAAATAGAAGGAAGGTGTAGAGATAGAGATGTTTGTGTGTTTTTAAAAATTTAATTTTTAATTGATGTATAGCTGACTTAACAATATTAGTTTCAGGTGCACAACAGGGTGATAGAAATACTTTTGTAGATTGTGCACCATATATAATTATTATAATATTATTGACTGTATTCCCTGTGACTTATTTATCTTATGATTGGTAGCTTGTTGTGTTTTTTCTGATTGAGAAACATTTCTCCCTTTGAGGAGATCTGTTTAATGTGTAAGGCAGATGCACATTGCACATTAGGGAGGGAAGGAGGAAGCCCAGACAGACAGAGAGAAGAATCTTATGTTTAAATGTTCTTGTCCTGCCTTAAAATATACATTTTATTTCATTACCAGATATACGATTTGCAACTGTAAAACGCCTAGAAGGAAACATAGGCAGTAAGCCATGTGACATTGGTCTTGGTGATAATTTCTTGAAACTGACACCAAAGGCAAAAGTAAAATAAACAAATGAGATTACATCAAACTAAAAAGCCTCTGAACAGCAAAGGAAACCATGAACAAAATGGAAAGGCAACCTACCAACTGGGAAAAAAATATTTGCAAATCGTTGTGTTTGTTTTTAATGAGGGGTGAGTTGCTCACCATATTGGATCGACTGGCATACAAACCAGGTAGGAATGAATGGCAGTTGTAGAGGGAGTGCTCGTCTGGCAGGCATGGCACCAGGTGATTAAAGCACATTCCAGAAAGGGCTGATGCACGTTTATGGCATGTGGGAGAATCCCCAGCCTGAGACCCAATCAGGAGACATGGTGTTTCCTACCCTGGGGGAGGCAAAGATGGGCTGCACTTCAGCATGGCTCCTGCCATGTAGGGAAGGACCACATGTGGGGGGTGAAGATGTTGTATGATCTGGAACAATCTATACATCCTCAGGTGACCACAAATGACTGAACGGAATGTACAGGAAGCGAGGTGCTTAGAAGTGAATTCTGTGTGACCCCCTGTTGGCATTCACAGAAGAGTGGGCTTTGGGAACCAAGTCTGAGGAGAGATAAGAAAGAGCTCTGGGGATTCCCAATCCCTAATGAGTCTCAGCAGTTGTATTTTCACAGAAACCTAGAGTTTTGTCTGAATTTGACGAAGTTTTCCTAAGGTGCTTATATTCATTATCTTCAAAGATCTTGGATAGTAGCTAGCACCTTGAGTTAGTATATCCTTCAGGAATAATTACTCACTGAATGAATCAACCCAGTTCCCAAAAGAGGAGTGTGTCTCCCATTAATTAAAGTAGGAGTCAATAATGGGTAAAATATAGCCTATATTTTCTTTATTACTGCCATTTCGCATATGAAGGATGCTCTCCAGCCTTTCAAATCTCCCTCTGAGGGAAGTTAAGTTGACTATCAAGATAGATCTTGGCAGCTCTCTCTTGGGGTCCCCAGCGCTAACTAAGCATTTAAGAGAACACTGGACATCATCCTAGTGGCTGGTGAGATAACCCATGTCCAGGTGTGGGAGAGGAAGCGTGGTCCCGCCTGCTGCACGCAGTGAATTCTGTACTGAGGTCTAGAAAGGGTGCTGGTGACATGAGGGACCAGCAGCAGGCACTTGGGCTCCTTTTTATTGGGTTCATATGCCAATTTTTGATCCCAGAGGAGGCAGAAACCTCTTTCACTGCCTTGTGTGCTAGGGAAGAACTAAAACTCGAGTGGAGGAAAGGCTGGGGTAGGTGCTGTGAGCCAAGGGTGGTCAGTGAGAGGGGAGGAGGGGGCAGAGGGTCTGGTGGGTCTCTAAGCAGCAGCCTCTGTCTGGAGCTCAGCTGGTAGGAGAGCAGACAACCTTGGGGACTTTGGCAACTCAACTCTCTTACTTGAGCCTTAGGATCACAGGCTCTTACAAGAGCCTTAGGATCACAGGCAGCTGACCCTGAAGAGAAAACACTGCCTTCTGCCAACCCAGTGTAGCGGCTGGAGTACAGGTCTTGGAGTACCAGCCACCAAGGTCCTGGGATCTGCACTGATCAACATTCTCAATTGTTCCCTTAATGACACAGTGCCTGCTTTGACCTTCCCCAACCCCAGGCCATCAGATCATCTCTACTGGCTGCTCTGGAGCTCTTAAGTGTGACTGTACATGCAAAGCCATGTTTTCACAAGGATTCTTAATGCTGCCTAAAAACAGTTTTACATGTCCCCTTCCAATTTTCATTCCTCATTCCAATTTTTTTCTCTCTCTCCCTGGGGATAAGCTCCTATTCACAGATGATAATCACCTCGCAGCTCTCATCTGTAGAGCACTTTCATGTGAATACATTGTACATAGCTTGTCTTTAATAATATCAACAACCCATATAAGCTATGTACTGTTATCCTCATTTTATAGACGAGAGCTCAGCGAGGTTAAGACAACACTGAAATGTACATGGGTTACATGACCTGCCCATGTTATATCACTCACAGGCACCTGAGCTGGAATTCAAACTTGTATCCTCCTAGTCTACATCCCATGCTCATCCAACAGTATAACGGAAAGAAAATTGAAGCTCTTAGATATAAACTCCCTCAAATTTCTTTATATGCACCTACAAATTTTAATGAATGAATGAATGAATGAATGAATGAATTTCCCCTTCTCTCCTCCAGCAGGGAGAAGCTGATTCTGTCCTGTGTTCCTAAAAGTCCTCTCAATTATTCACAAATAGTCTTATCTATTCCCATTTCTTCACATTTCAGGTCTCTGCACATGACTCTCAAATCTTTCTGGGAGCTCCAACTGTTGTTTCCAATCACTAGGGAAGGGCATATTTTTTACTAATATACCTTTTTATAGACCATATACTGTTTCCCCGCCTCCTCAGCTCTCCACATCTAACACGTCTGCTCTGTGTTTCTTAAGCAATCCATGTATTCCCTATCTCCATACGTTTGCTCATACTGATTTGAAACATCATCCTTTTCTCTACTTGTAGAAATTCTTTTTATTTTTTAAAGAATGAGCTCCAACGTTATACCTGCTACGAATAGTTCCCCAACTTTTTAGTCAGATTTAATGGTATACTTTCCGTGTTCCCAAAGCACTTTGCTTACGAGGATGAATAACACATCACCTATCACATGAGAAAACTGTCTTCATCTCTGTTTCAACTTATGGGCTGCCGGCACAATGTAGACAAGAAGACAGTTTTATTTATCTCTACACACCTTGAAGCAATAAGCACAGCCCTTGGCTAAGTGTTTGTTGAATGAATGAATGGTGATTTAGTTACTGCTCTGATGTTTCAACATGCCCCAAGGAGGGCATGATCTGATTTCGGGCTTATTTTTTTCTCACCTAAAATCTTCAGTATCAACCTGGGAAATTTTCTAGCCTGCTTTGTGAAAATATTGAGTTTTAAATTTAAAAAAAATTACCTGCTGTATAAAAATCACAGAAAAGGAAAGGAAATGATACATCATTTTTCTTCTAAAAATAAACACACGACTGCCATCCAGGTGATCAATGTTACAGATAAGCATCCAAAAAATTAAAATTTCTATTTGTAAATTTAAAAAATAAGATAATAAGAATTGATCCTCTTCTATTAACAAATGTTTATGTTCACATACAATACAATAGTACTTTTCATTAGATCGGAATAATGAGTTTGGGGAGATGGGAGGAACAGGGGGATGCTAGCCTGAATTATGGAAGTCAGAATTATTGAAAGCAATACAGTTTTATTACTTTCAATACTATGACCTGCCAATAAAGTCTGGCTAATGACATGGATCCTTATTTTATAGCCAAATCTTTTTGCCTAAAGACCACCATATATGCTAAAGCCATGAAAACAATTATTCTTTTAAAGTAAGTTACAGGTGTTCCCTCTATTTCTCTTAACAAATCCATTCCTTGCAGAGAATTCAAAGGTAAATTTCATCTTGGTCTTGGTCAAATTGTCAAAAATTGCGTAACAGTAATATCTGTAATATCTGAAAACAGTAATATCTGAACTAATAAGGTTCAGATAATAACTAATAAGAATTACTGAATTCTTAGAGGAAGACATTTCTGGAAAATAATGAATAGAGCCCAATGTCCCAGGGAAGTGTTAAATACTTTTAAAATAAAAATAGGTAAAATGTGAAGTTTTTCAAATAAGATGAACGTTAATTATTCATTAAGCTAGATATAAGTGAAATCCATCTTCAAAGTCTTTGTCTTCCTTTGTAAATTTCTTGAGGGCAAGGGTCATGGTTTGCTGGCTTCTCTCCCCCACCCTCCAAGCCTTTATACACCCCAACAATGTCACCTAGTCTGTGCTTTCTGATGATGGTTATCTTCATAAGAACAGGTGTATAAAAGCAACATTACGGGGTTTTCAGATATTGTGGGTTTTTGCTCTGCTTATCTAAAACTACCTGAGACCCAAACAACACAGAGAGTTTACTCTCTGATTCTGGCTATAGGCTGCAAGTAATTTACAGGCCCCCATCCTGGAAAAGAAGAGAGAGGAAATTCATATATTACCATCACATGCAAAGACATTTAAGAAACAATCTACATTGATATACCTCAAAGTCTCTGATATTTATTGCTAGCCAAGAAAATCATGTGAAGGGAGAGGATGGTGAAACAGAATATGTCATCCCTGTGTTTCTGGGCTACTCAAGTGGTGACAGGCTTCATGTCACTTATTAGGAAACCTGGCATTACCTTCAAATTTGGCCACAGAAAAGACAGCTTTGTGCCTATACCGTCTACATCAGAGAAACAGATCTGGGGACTACTGGGGTAGGCGGAGCTGGAAAACATCCATCACAAGGAAGAAAATTTCCTTGGATTCTTTGCATTCTACTCCATAACCTTTCAAGGTGTTGATACACAATTATAGTTTCTGCTTAAAATTTTTGAGTACTTAGGATAGATCTCTTTAGGTAAAATTGATACTTGGGATAGATACGTCAGGTACATCTCCTGGTGTGGAACATCCAGTGACCCACTGTTGGATAACTTGGTTTGTGAAGCTTGGAAGAGTAAATGAACTGAAATCTAGGATAAAAGGACAAAAGCTCTTTGAGGGAAGCGATCCCATGGATATTTAAATCATCCAGAACTACTGGGGGTTTACTTTATAGTGAAAAGCTCTAATTTTGGGGGTTTCCCTTGAGCCAACGATTTTCCATCCTGATAATCAAGAAAGACGACCTCTTTCTGCCAGATGAAATTACTAAATGTAACAGAATATTTCTTCTGGTTTAGTCATCTCTGGGGAGAGGTGAGTCTCAGCTCATTCTGAGAACAATTCTAGGGAACCACAAGACGGCTATTCAGACTTTTGCTTTCTAGATTACACTGGTCCAATTCTTCTTTCAAAAAAAACATATTATAACTATATAATATATAATACATATTATATACAGTATACTATACAATATATTTTATATATTGTATAATTTTAATATATATTATATACTACATGTGAAACTATATATTAATATATATCTTATACATATGTATATGTAATGTTTTCCTCTTTGCGTATTGTCTTGTTTTTCAAAATATCCCTTTCAAAGTATGTGGATAAAAATTTGAACAATTACTTAAGAATGATGAGGCTTAAACAATGGTAGGATTAATTCTCTGTCCTGCTATTCTGCTACATTTAAAAAACCCACTATCAGTGTGATTCATATATAATATTGTTTTCCTAACCTTAATTGAAACAAAGATCCTATTGGCACTTGCCTTCTTAATGAATCTATCACCAAGTTTCATTTGTGCTAGAATATACCAGTTTATACTTATGTCAATTAAATGCTATTCTAGTAATAACGTATAAGGCAAAAGAATCTGAAAAAGAATATATATATATATAAACTGAATCACTTTGCTGTACACCTGAAACTAACACAATATTGTAAATCAGCTATATTTCGGTTAAAAAAACTATAAAAAATAAATAAAACTAAAAGAAGGGTTTTTTTTTTTTAAATGCTATTCTATCTTTAGAATGATTTAAAAAATATATCCAAGGGCATTTTGCATCGTATTGTCATGAGTTTCCTGGGATAAGGTATCAACAGCTCCACTTGATTTAGTAATTTCTGCATTTTGGATGAGGCACTTGTAAGTCATTTGTACAGCTCATCAATAAGTTATAGGTCCTACAGTACAACTGACCCTCATGGGTTAGAACTTGATATTTAATCCACTGCTTCAACTCATTTTGATGTAATTGCAACTTTATATTTACTGGTCACCCATGTAACAATAGCATGATTAAGGTCACACTTTTGTGGCTTGGTGATAACAATATTGTTTAGGCTAGGACCCAAAATCTTTCTCTATACAAAACTGATTTTATCTGGCACATCTCATTGTTTATGTAATCTGTCCCGTAACCATGGAAGGAAATTAAATCGATGTAGAAAAAAATGGCTATTCAAAGAGTCAAATGCAGCTGCTTCCTTATCTCTTATGATAGTCTGCTAAATTGCTTACAGATTGCATGAGAAATTGTTCTCATCAGGTATTGCCTCTAAGCTCTCAGGTTTATAATGATCAAGTCATTTCCTTTAAAAACGTGGATATGACAGGCTTCTTCCCCATCTCCACGAAGGCTCAACTATAAAGGCTGTGCAAGGACCTCTGCCAATTTCTTCTTTTTTTAATATATTGTAGTAAAAAACACATTAGATGTATCTTCAACAAATTTTAAAATGTACAGGACAGTATGTGAACTGTAAGCACAATGTCGTACAGCAGATGTCTAGAATTTTTCATCCTGCATAACTGAAACTCTACCTATGGAACAGCAATTCTCCATGCCGCTCTCCCCATCCCCAGGAAACTACCATCTGTCAATTTCTCAAGGGTCTCAGGAAACCTGACACTGGGGCATAATAATAAGATTATACTCCCAGGCTGGATACACTTTGATGGTCTAGTTTGGCTTTCCACTTGTCACAGACTGAAGTATGTAGTTAGGTGAATGCGTGTCCTACACTATATGGTAAACTTGTTGAAAACAAGTTAGTTAGATGATTCAGTCTTACTTCTCTTTATAATTTCCCCAAATCTAGTTTAGGGTTGTATATAAATACGTAATGAATTAAACTGTAATATTTCTTCTCAAAGGTTAATATTAATTAATGTTAATTTTAAGGATCTGATAAAAAGACAGGAAAGTAAATGCCATTTATTCTTGAATTTATGAACTGTCTCCTAAAAAAAAAGCCTCCTCTCTCACCTCCTAATAATAGTAATAGCATGCATAGCCCTTTAGAGGGTTTGACTATATCTTTTAAATCATTGCTATCCTATATATTTTTTTAATGTAATGACTCACTAGAATGTTGTGCCCAGTCCGTATAATCTATATAGGCTGACTTTCTTGCTACGTGATCATGTATTAAATAACGATAAATGTTTTCCCATAGTCAGCTGTGGAAATGGTTTTAAATGTCAGCATACGGGCTTGCTTCACACAGCGGAAATTAACTGGGTTTGGCCAGAGCCACTAAAGTTAATAAGAATTCCCATCCAGTGAACCTGTTCTTATATTGCACTTACAAGACTGATTACAGTGTTAAAGGCTTAATTGAATGGCATAGACAATCTAATGAAACAAGATTTCTCCCCATCATCATATTACTTTATTCTGAGTCATTTTTGTTTTTGGTGGGAAAGCACGTTTCGCCTGTTGAAACTTGGTGTAAGCACCATACTAAGTAATAGGTCTAGAACTTTGATGGGAAATCAATTTTTTTAAACATCTTTATTGTAGTATAATTGCTTTACAATGCTGTGTTAGTTGCTGCTGTATAACAAAGTGAATCAGCTCTATGTATACATATACCCCAATATCCCCTCCCTCTTGCATCTCCCTCCCACCCTCCCTATCCCATCCCTCTAGGTGGACACAAAGCACCCAGCTTATCTCCCTGTGCTATGCGGCTCCTTCCGACTATCTATTTTACATTTGGTAGTGTATATATGTCCATGCCACTCTCTCACTTTGTCCCAGCTTACACTCCCCCCTCCCCGTGTCCTCAACTCTGTTCTCAGTGTCTGCATCTTTATCCCTGTCCTGCCCTTAGGTTCTTCAGAACGATTTTTTTTTTATTCCATATATATGTGTTAGCATATGGTATTTGTTTTTCTCTTTCTGATTTACTTCACTCTCTATGACAGACTCTAGGTCCATCCACCTCACTACAAATAACTCAATTTCGTTTCTTTTTATGGCTGAGTAATATTCCATTGTATATATGTGCCACATCTTCTTTATCCATTCATCTGTCGATGGACACTTAGGTTGCTTCCATGTCCTGGCTATTGTAAATACAGCTGCAATGAACATTGTGGTACATGACTCTTTTTGAATTATGGTTTTCTCAGGGTATATGCCCAGTAGTGGGATTGCTGGGTCGTATGGTAGTTCTATTTTTAGTTTTTTAAGGAACCTCCAAACTGTTCTGCATAGTGGCTGTATCAATTTACATTCCCACCAAGGGTGCAAGAGGGTTCCCTTTTCTCCACACCCTCTCCAGCATTTATTGTTTGTAGATTTTTTGATGATGGCCATTCTGACTGGTGTGAGATGATATCTCATTGTAGTTTTGATTTGCATTTCTCTAATAATTAGTGATGTTGAGCATCCTTTCATGTGTTTGTTGGCAATCTGTATATCTTCTTTGGAGAAATGTCTCTTTAGGTCTTCTGCCCATTTTTGGATTGGGTTGTTTGTGTTTTTGATATTGAGCTGCATGAGCAGCTTGTATATTTTGGAGATTAATCCTTTGTCCGTTGATTCATTTGCAAATATTTTCTCCCATTCTGAGGATTGTCTTTTGGTCTTGTTTATGGTTTCCTTTGCTGTGCAAAAGCTTTGAAGTTTCATTAGGTCCCATTTGTTTATTTTTGTTTTTATTTCCATTTGTCTAGGAGGTGGGTCAAAAAGGATCTTGCTGTGATTTATGTCATAGTGTGTTCTGCCTATGTTTTCCTCTAAGTGTTTGATGGTGTCTGGCCTTACATTTAAGTCTTTAACCCATTTTGAGTTTATTTTTGTGTATGGTGTTAGGGAGTGTTCTAATTTCATTCTTTTACATGTAGCTGTCGAATATTCCCAGCACCACTTATTGAAGAGGCAGTCTTTTCTCCACTGTATATTCTTGCCTCCTTTATCAAAGATAAGGTGCCAATATGTGCATGGGATTTTCTCTGGGCTTTCTATCCTGTTCCATTGATCTATATTTCTGTTTTTGTGCCAGTACCATACTGTCTTTATTACTGTAGCTTTGTAGTATAGTCTGAAGTCCGGGAGCCTGATCCCTCCAGCTCTGTTTATCTTTCTCAACATTGCTTTAGCTATTTGGGGTCTTTTGTGTTTCCATACAAATTGTGGAATTCTTTGTCCTAGTTCTAGAAAAATGCATTGGTAGTTTGATAGGGATTACACTGAATCTGTAGATTGCTTTGGGTAGTATAG